TGAGGTCACCCCGCAGCCTTCTTTTCTCCAGGCTGAACAAGCCCAGCTCCCTCAGCCTGTCTTTGTGGGGAAGGTGCTGCAGCACTTGATCATCTTTGTGGCTCTCCTGTGGAACCTCTCCAACAGCTCCCTGTCTTTCTTGTACTGGGGGCTCCAGACCTGGACTCAGTATTCCAGATGGGGTCTTGCAAGAGCAGAGTAGAGAGGGACAATCACCTCACTGTCCCTGCTGGCCACCCCTGTTCTGATGGAGCACGGGATACCATCTGCTTTCTGAGCTAAAATTTGCTTAAATTTATTCCCCCCAGTCTGTTTCTGGATTGGGCTGACCCATTGTGATATGTTGAGTCTGGAGAGTGACACTTTGTAAGATAAAATAAAACAAAAGAATGGCTTTCACTGTTCCTGACAGCTGAGAAAGGAGGAGGATTGGGGGGGGGGGAGGGACTGCTTGAAGTAGTTCTGAGGCATCCTGCTGGGTGCCCTGCTCTGGTGCCTCTGCAGTGTAACATCCATCTCCAAGCAGTTGCTGCAGTGCCATGTTTGCAGAATCACAGAACTGGCTTGAGTTGGAATGGCCTCTTGGCAGGGGAAGCTGCCCATGGCAGAGCCCTGTTATCCTCATGCTCACACCGCTCTGAGTGGAAGAGCCACTGAAATACTGTCTGGTTGATCAGAGGGGTTGTGCTTCATCCCTGTTTGTACACCTGCTTGAAGTGTAGTACCTATAAATGATTACCTTTAAAGGCCTTTTCCAGCTCAAACAGTTCTATCATTCTAAATGTCACATGTTGGCTTTTTATCCAGTTACTTAACTGATTGGGGTTATAGCCTACCTGATTTGTTTCCTTCTGTGGTATCACTGCTGAAAACTAGACTAAGCACTGAGCTGTACCTAGCCTGTAGCACAGACAGCTGCTGACGGATTGCTTTTGCTGGGGGGGAGTTACTGAGTGTTGCTGTGGAGGTAGTAGTGCCCAAGCTTCATGTTTAGTTATTAAAAAGCCTTCCTAAATCTCCTTGTTGCAACTTAAAACCCCTCGTTACTTTCTCTGTCTCTGTTGAACATGATAAAAATGAGTAACCTCTTATTTATACAATAAGTGAAAATTCTGAAACTTTTCTTTCCTTTCTAACACCAGTTTTCCAAAATGCCTATTTCCATCCTGCATCATCCTATTCACATCAGTAATGATTTCTGAGTCCTTTGTTCCTCTGTGGGGTACTGCTGGTTAGACCTTAATACTACAGAATAGATCCCGTCTGCATTCAGATCTCATGAAATGTGTATTTTGCTTCTCCTCCCTCCCTCTTCCCCCCCCCCGCCATTCATTTTCTTCCCCAGTTCCAAATGACTTTTTTGAACTGTTGTTTCCAGAATTACCTTGCATTCGGATTCCTCAGAACCAGGCTGTGAAAATGCTGAACGTAGACCCCATTGTGTTGGAATCTCCTCAGAAGTTCTTCTTGCGTGTAAAGCAGAAATTGCAGCAGAACCAGCAGCAAAAAGGTACTTGATATTGCTTTTAGAAACACTTCAAAAGCTTGCGGGACTTCAGGACTCCGTTCTTGCTTATAATTTTTCGTGTGCTATTGGCAGAATATTGCAGGGTATCATTTGCCTTTGTAATCTGTGCACAGAGGAAGGAGGTACAAGAAACCTGCAAGTCTGCCTTTTCAGCCCTGGAGATGGCGTTAGACTTGCAGGCTGTAGGTCAGGATGCTGCCTGCTGGCATTGAAGTTTGTCTGTTGGTTTTTTTGTTTGTTTGTTTTTCTTTCGTGTTTGCATGTACTGCGTTCATTCAGACTCTGGTGTTATGGTTAAGAACTCTTTATAAATTAGGTGTGACAGTTTGGTACTGGAATGGGAATTTGGTGGAAATATCCTAAACTTTTTCTTTGCTAAGTCTTTTCCCCATTCTGTAGCTTTTAATACGTAAAAAGAAAAGACTTGGCTCCCTGATGAGAAAAGTAGAATGAAGACTTAAGGAGCTGCAAGCTGGTGAGCCTCACATCTGTGTCTGGGAAGATCACAGAGCAGATCCTTCTGAAAAAGATGTTAAGGCACATGAGGGATTAGGAGGTGATCTGAGACAGCCAGCAGCATGGCTTCACCAAGGGCAGGGCGTGCCTGAGCCACTGGTGGCTTCTGTCATGGAGTGATGGCATCGGTGGACAGAGGAGGGGCAACTGATATTGTCAGCCTGGACTTAAGTGAGGCCCTTGACGTGGTCCCACAGCACATCCTTATCTCTGAATTGGAGCAATGTGGATTTGAAGGGTGGACTATTTGCTGGATAGGGAACTGGTCAGAAGGCTGCAGCCATAAGGTTGTGGTCAGTGGCTCCATGTCCGTGTGGAGGCGGTTGCAGGCAGTGTGCCCAGGGGTTGGTCTGCACCAATGGCAGGCAGTGGAATCAAGTGCACCCTCAGTAAGTTTGCAGATAACAACAAGCTGTATTTCTCACCAATACCTCATCCAAATCTATCCTTTGTTATTTTAAAGTTCAGAATTCCCTGTATTCATTCTTATTCTGTATTGTTTCTTGATAGCAATGCTAAATATACATATTTTGTATAATTTTTTTCCTAGAATGCAAATCAAGAAAATGATGCACAGCAAACACAGTGTTGTTCAGCTTCAGAATAGCACTTAAATTAGGGGAAAACTCAGAAACCAATGTTTGTAGCTTCCAGCATGGCAGCAACATGGGTAGAAATTAAGGTCTTGAAGTTTGGAAAGAAGGATGTATTTACGATTCTGTTTTTTTATGAATAACAGAATCTTTTCTCTATAGGAAGAAAGGTAAGTATGCTAATAGATGTGTACATCAGCTTGCTTTTGGGGGAAAGTGGGATGCTTACTTGTTGATGTGGTAGTGATGAAAACCTGGTACAAACAAATTCAAAGAAGTGCTTACTGTGAGGGTTGGCAGTTGAATTAGTGCTTTCAGAATAGTAATGCTAACCATGAAAACATACTCATATTAACATCACTAATTGCATTTTTTTTTTTTTTAACGGGCAGATCCAACACTTCCAAGCCCAAACAAGCAGAATGTTCCTCCTCCCCCAACTGCAGAAAAGCCGATAATTAAATCTGCTTTTGCTGAGCTGCTCCCAAATGCTCAGACAGCGTGTGTGGCTGCTGCTAAGGACAATGAGGATAATTTCCTTGTGGAGTCAATGGATGCTGATGATGAAATGTCTCTAAATACAGGAACAAGTACTGTGGGTGTCCGTTCTACCCCTTCTGACTCTGGGGAACAGTTAGAAGAAAGATGTGGAAACAGAGAAGCAAAACGTACTGAACTTCAACAGGAGAAAGGACGGCTGCAGCCAAGCAATCAGCGAGCTGAGCACAGAGCAGAAAAGATATTGGTGACTGCAGCTCAAAAACCCACACAGCACTTCTGCAATGTTGTGCTCACTACTCATGAAGCCTGCATGCCACGGAAGCAGAAGCAGAAAGAAAACTGTAATGGCCCTTTGGATAAACGTCAGGCTGATCAAATTGCTGTTACTGCTGACAAAGAGGTGGGAGAACTTACTGCCTTGTTATACCTGGTAGGGTAAAACTTCCCATGGACTGCCTGTAGCTTGTGGTCATGATTTTGGTTTGTTTTTTTTTTTTTGTCAAAAGTAATGAGCATGCAGATGAAGCTGCTGGGCATTATTCTGGGATGGAGTCCACTTCCATGCAGCAGCCCAGACAGGGCTGCACTTTGCACTTGTAGCTGGAGCAGCAGTGATGTGCAGCACTGTTCTGTCTCTCACTGGGCAGTGCTGGTACAGCAGCAAGGCTGCCCCAGAGCCAGGTGGGGAGGGGGCACTGCTGCGGTGCTGCCCTACACTACCCAAAGTGATATCTCACACCATGGGACATCACAACAGCAGCAGGAGCTGGGGAAGGAGGAGGGAAGCTCTCACTATGGCAATGTCCTCCAACAACTGCTACATCAATTGAGGCTCTGTTTTCCAAGATGTAGCCAAGCATTGCTCACTGATGGGAAGTAGAGAGTAATTTTCTCCTCTTGCTTCTGTACAGTCTTTTTGGTTGTTTGTTTGTTTTTTTAATTAAATTAAGCTGTTCTTTAGCTCAGCCCATGAGCCTTCTTTCACCATTTGTTTTCCCCCTGTTTTTTTTGAGGTGGGGGAGCGAGAGAGCGTCATGGTGGAGCTGAGCAGTATAAAAACTCCTCAGACTATAGTGGTAAATATATTCCTCTCAAAAGACTTCATTTTTTTTTCCCCAAATGAAGGTTTGGTTGCTTTGTATAAAAGAAGGCTTTTTCATTCAGTATTCACAAGTTGCAGTCTGGTCTCAAAGAACAGAAAACGCCTTCAAGCTGAGAGTGAGATGATTTAAATATGTTCATTGCCCCACTCTGGTGTGTGATGTCCCATTCAGCTCTTGGATGTATAGGCAAAGCTGAGAGGAGGAGGGGAGATAATTCCAAGCTATAGGCTAGGTGGTCCTTGAGATAACTGAATCTCTCTGTATTTGACAGTGAGGTGGAAATCTTAGGTTTACTGCCAGAATATCCAAACTAATGTTATGGGAGGCAAGAATCTTTTCCTAGAAGCTTAGTTTGCAGATAGAATTTTCACTTCAATAAGCACTTCATAGTAGTTAGAACTTGCTAATTAGATCTCAAGGAAAGCAGTGTGTTGTAAAGCTGAACTCCTCAGGAATGAGCCTAAGGCCTCCCCAGGAACTGTGTTTTTGTGGTACCCCTGAGACATTTCAGCCCAAAACGATCTCTTAAAACGTGAAGGTTGTGCACAGTGAATGTGCCAGCAGTTTTTAGTATTGGATACAGTCATTTTAATGTCCTCCTGAATTTTAGTAATAACATAGCTAATAATTTTATTTTTTCATGATAATTTGTTTTTGTGAGCAGTACTTTGAGGACTGATGATAGTGTAAGAGGCACCCCTGGGTGCTGGTGGTGCTTTCCGAGTAGGGCTTTTTGGGTTTGCTAGGAGACCTGGCCATCTTCTAAAGATCTTCTAAAAGCCAATGCTAAGTTACTCAAAGTGTTTCATGTGAAATTCATGTATTCTGCACTGGGATTCAACTTGCTTGTGGTTCTACATTTATGCATTTAATGGCTGTTTTCAGGTTTTTTTGGTCTGGAAGATGATGCCTAAATAGATTCTCAAGGTATACAGGAATTAATTTCTACTTTGCCAGTGCATTGGCAATGTTATGTAGCTTAGTCTGATATAAGAATCATGGCAGATCTGATGTTTTTTTCCCCACAGAAAAGAATCTGCCTTTCCAGCTGGCGCATTAAAGTGATGAGTGGTAACACTGCAGTGTGTGTCGAAGGAAAACGAAAGTAAGACAAAAATTTCTGATTTGAATGCAATGTAAAGCATGTTGGAGGGTTTTCAACATCTCAGCCCTGAAGCTGGTACTATTATTTGAGATGTGGTGTTGACCTTGTGGTGTTGCAGTACGTTGGAAGCTGTTAGAATCAGTTCCACACAGTTCTGCTGCCTGAAAGTCTGAAGAGAGTTCTGCTGTTTGTGGCAAGTTTGGCAGTTCAGCATTTGGGCTGTTTGCCCTTAGTGCTGCTCTGTAGCTTGGCCTGTTGTTTACTGCTACAAAAGTATACTTAAAAAACATTCCACATAGATTCTTTTTACATTAATACTCACTTTTATTTCTAATTGAGAGGTCCCCTAAACACTTGTTAATCTTAATTTTTGCATGGACTGGAGCTCCTTCTTCAGTTATTGTCTTTTAAATAGAAAGGCAAGAAATAAAATACTCCCAGGGATAACTTAAACTGGACTTGTATAATAGCACCTCTATAACATCCATGAGGGTATCACTGCAACATGGAGCTCAGTGGAGTCCTTTAGTCTACTTTGGTTTTGCAGCCTAATGCCTGGCATGTTCTGTGATGAACAGTTGCAGTAGTGGCAAGCTTGTTTTATTTCCTGTCCAAATATTAAATAAGAGGTCCAGAAAGTCTTCCAAACTAAGGAAGGAAAACCCAGCACATCTTACCAGTGTCTGTCTGACTCATCACATGGGTAGTACTGTTACACTGATATGGGATAACAATTTCTTGTTTTAAATTCCTCCTTTTATGAAAATTGTGTTGTTTTTTTGTGTTGTTAATATTATTTATCTTTTCTTAGAGATATGAAAGATATGTTATGGCATAGTAACGCAGTTGTAGAACGTGTAGCATACAACCAAGTTAAAACAGCATCTGGCAATATCTACTTGCTACAGGGACATATAGATTCTGTTTGGATGAGAAAAGAAGGTAAGAAGATCATTCTTAAGGTGGGCTTTAGAATGATGGCTGCTTTCTGCACTTTGCACATACTGCCAAAGTGAATGTTCTGTGTTATTCTGCAGCCTGGGCTTGGGGGGTATCAGCACTTCTGACAGCTTTAAATGGAGCTGGGAGCTTTGCCCAGTCCATCAGTGCTGGACACAGTTCTGTTCCTGGCTCCCAAAAACTAGAATGCCATCTTCACTTGCTGATGTCTGCATCCTGTGGCCCTTGGTTCACTTTACCATGACATACACAGGTCTTTCAAACTGGGAAAGTCTGTCTCTCTGATGTTTAAGATGTTAGTTAGTTTCTGAGGTGCTTACAAACAGATCATACTGAGTGGTATTTCTATGTTTCCTGATTAAAAATATTGCTCAGCTATTGTTAATGCCACTTCTGTTTCACACAGGTTTTTCCTATCAGTTCACCAAAAGATTTACATTTGGGTTTTCCAAAAGGTGGAAGGAATACGTTGAGGAGTTACTCAAGGAATTAAGAAGGTAATTCCTTTGGAAATTGCTTAATTGTAATACTTTCCCAAGTATTAGTTGATTTTTAAGGATATTACACTATTTTAAGGAAAGATAAAAGACTGTAGATGTGTTTATGGAGACTTTGATCCAGGCAAATTCTGGTTGCTTTGTTGGAAGAATAACCTCTTCACAGAATCACAGAATGGCCTGGGTTGGAAGGGACCTCAAGGATCATGAATTTCCAACCCCCCTGCCACATGCAGGGCCACCAACTTCCTCATTTAATGCTAGACCAGGCTGCCCAGGGCCCCATCCAACCTGGCCTTGAACACCTCCAGGGACGGGGCATCCACAGCCTCTCTGGGCAGCTGTTCCAGCACCTCACCACTCTCTCTGTAAAGAATTTCCCCCTGACATCTAACCTAAATCTCCCCTCCCTCAACTTAAAACCATTTCCCCTTGTCCTGCTGTCACTCACCCTTTCAAAGAGTTGATTCCCCTCCCCTCTGTAGGCTCCCTGCAGAGAGGCCCAGGGCCCCAACCTCTTAGTCTTCTTCATTACACTGCTTTGGTTTGCTTCTGTTGAGACGCATGGGATCAACACAAGTGAGGAGCATTGCTGATTCAGTGGCTTGAATCATGCCACTATTTAGCTACTCTGTGAGTAGAGCTGCACTATGCTGTTGGGCTTTTGCTGGGATGGGGAGAAGACTTTGAGTCTACATAGGTCTTTTGTTAAAGGGTAACTGCTTTGGGTCTTTATTATTATTTTTTTCTTAAACTCTAAATCATTAGGAAAGAACACAAAAAAAGGATTGGTGAAGATAAAAATGATGAGAGTGACTCAATGGTGGATACAGATGAGGTGGAAAGTGCAGAAGACTCAGCAAGAAATGTAAGGAAACGTGAAACAAGGAACACTACATATGAAGTGTTACCAAGGAAAGATGAACACACTTGTGAGTCTTGGTAATCTTTTTCTCTAGAGAAGAAATGGATAGCTTGTGATAGTTTGGGTTTGGTGACTCTGTTGTTTGTTGTTTTCATAGAATCCTAGAATGGCCTGGGTTGCAAAGGCCCACAGTGCTCACCCAGTTCCAACCCCTGCTGTGTGCAGGTCGCCAACCAGCAGCCCAGGCTGCCCAGAGCCACATCCAGCCTGGCCTTGAATGCCTGCAGGGATGGGGCATCCACAGCCTCCTTGGGCAACCTGTTCCAGTGCCTCACCACCCTCTGGCTGAAAAACTTCCTCCTAATATCCAACCTAAACTTCCCCTGTCTCAGTTTAAAACCATTCCCCCTTGTCCTATCTTTTTAAAGCTTTTTCCCAGCAAAGAATATCTTGTTTAGTTTTGTTAATTTCAGGCTGTATGGAAGATATAGCAAACTAATTGTGAAAGTTGTTCTTTGTGTTTGCATGAGCTGCAATAATGAGGAGCAGTGGCTTGTTCATGTTCTGGATAGCTGATGTACAAAAAATAGATGTTGTTTGGCATCTTTTCTGAGGAATAACCCTGGGAAGGAAGCAGGAGCCTGATTGGGTCTGTAGAAGCTGACAGTAGTGGTTCCAGAGCTGTTTTTTCAGGCAGCAGCGAACTTCACTGAAGTTTTTCCTGGTTGCTGTGTTGTCTATCATGCTCTTATCAATTATTCTGGGATGTATGTGGGATTTAGTCTCTCCAGACTCCATTCCTGGGACTCCCATGCAATGTTGGCCTGCACCCTTCTCTGGCTGGCTTGATTTAATTCGTTCCTTGAATCTGATCCTACAGCAGGCTTGTTTTATGGCATCTTAATGGTTTATTTCCAGAGCTGAGGAATAGAGTGATGTGCTAACAAGCATTGGGCATGGTCTGAATGGTCGTGGAAGAATTACCCTCTTTGGTTTTCTTTCCAAAGGAAACAACTATGAAGCTGCAACCCAGTGGCCAACATTTTTTCTTTGCCTTGTAATACAAACTTAATTAAGGACACTAATAGCTTCTGGTTTTTAATTTTTTTTCTATAACTTGTCACAGGCTCCAGCAGGGCTTGCAAACTGTTGGGCAGAACTGAAACTTGTTGTTTTTCTTGTAGATCAAACACCAAAAAACAAACCCCCACTGAATGGCTCCAATGAGATCTACACTCGTAGCGGCCGTCTGGTCAAACCACCGCTCAGCTTCTGGTGTGGGGAGCGAGAGTTTGTGGATCAGGAGCTCAATGTTACAATACAGAAAGGTGGAACAGATTATCTGAGCATGGTGAGTATCCTTTGCACGTTGTGAGTTATACGTTTCTATAATATACAGTAATAAATACATCAGCAACCTAGGTGTGCACTAAACTGACAGGCTGCTCTAGTGAGTGCCTGACTAGGCAGAATGTTTTGGAAACATAATAAAAACATTTTAAAGCAGAAAAAAAAGTCTCTGAATTATCAAGTAATTGTTGCATGAGAAGCTGGGATAATATATGATTCCTTCTGGAAGGTCAGGAAGTTGTGCAGAGGTACTGCTTTGGGTTACAGAGGTTCCCAAATAAAACACTTCCTGCAGTGTAACATCCGGTCCCTGCCAGCATGGCTAAGCTCACAAGGGACGTCAAGGCCCTACACAGGGTTTTATGTTATCTCTGCTGTTCTCAGCTTTCCCTTTTCTGTGTAGTTTCGTATTCATTAGGAGCTGATGTTTCCTCATTTCTTACACCTTGGTCTGTCCAAGGTCAATCAGTTTTGATTGAGGTGGGTTATTCTCATTTATTATGACACTTCAAGCAACTCTGATGGTACTGTGATGAGGGAAGTGTGTGTGAAGGAATGCAGCATTCTTTACAGCAGCTGTTTTTTCCTTGAAATTAATTGACCATATGGCACAGGGAGCATACTAACTCTTGTCAGTAGCTCCAGCAGTGCGGATGTGTCCAATTCACCAAAAGGTCCTGGCTTTTGAGATTTTAACTGTTAGAGAATGGAGTGGGAGTCTGGTGAAGCTGCCTTAGTCACACGCACTCATATGAGCATCTGTGTGCATCAGACAGCACTGAATAGATTCTGGGCAACGCAGGAGTCTTAACTCTACCCATCCTGTAAATATTTGGCTTTTTCAGAGCTGGCGTCGGTAGGCTTGATATGTAAGCTCTAGCAGAAGTTTAGATTAAATTGTTTTATTTTGAAGATGCATAGTACTGAAAAACCTAAAAGAAAAACCACTTCGCTCTCTAAGATGAAGGAAAGAAAGGATTCAGCAAAGACAGTGGAAGAAAAAACAAAAAGCCAAGATAAAGGTAAGAAAAAAAAAGTTTTTGCTTGTGCTATTCAAAGTTATTGAGTGGATTCAATGGATGACGAGCTGGCTGCTGAAGCAGCATGGCGATGTTTGGCAGATGCAAGCAATTTATTTACATCTTTGATTATCATTCACTTTTGTGAAGAATTAGCGGAGTAACACTGATGGCCAGTTTCACAGCTCAGAATTGTTTGTAAACTGCTTCTTTGGTACAGCATGGGGACATGAACATTTCTTTCCAGAAATCAAAGCGGTTATGAATTTTATGTATTTAAGTTTCTGCTCCTATACTTTGGATCTCAATATGCCTGATGTGTGCAACCTGGGGGGCTGCTTAGGCCAACGTTCCCCCATAGGAACAAAGAGTGCAAGTACTGGAAGTCTCCTATGCATGAAGGACCCTGCCTGCTGCTGGTGTGCCCCCTCTGAGCTGAGGGAGAAGCATTTGCTCAGTCTAAATCCACTGCTCAGAACTGGCTTCATGCTGTTCTGAGTTGGAAGTTGGGGGTATTTTCAGTGCTGCTTGCCTATCAGAGTACAGTAATGATTTACCTTAAGTGTGTGATATACTGACATCATCTCTTTCAGGGAAAAGTGAAGAAAAAAGAGTGAGTACTAAACACAAAGCCACATCCACTGAAAGCAGAGAGGTCAGGCGCTTTATTTCAGGTGATGAAAGTGATCATGCAAGTGATGATAATAAAATTAAAACATGGCTTTCCAATAAGGAGACTCGCTTAAATACTGAAGATGCAAACAAGCATAACTATAATAGCAGAAACACAGGAAGAAGAAAAGAAAAGACAGGAAAAGAATATGGAGAAGTGACTACAGGTCAGAATATGCACTCCTTAAGGTCAGCCAGAAAACCTTCTCGAGGTAAGCCTTTAACAGAGGAATCCTCAAGCAAAGATGGGGAAGAGGAATCCGGTGATTATATCCAATTGACTGTCAAAAGGAAAAATAAACCTTTTTTGCCAAAAGAGATTCAAAACTCTGAATCTTCGTCTACCTGTGAAAAGCTGCAGGGCAGCACAAGCGAGGTGTCGAGTGAATGCCGGGCAGTCACACACTGCACTGCTGCCTCCCATACTATGCAGCTGAGGCAAAGGATACCTGCCTTCATTGAGAGTTCAGATTCTTCTGAAGAAGAAACCTCTTCCGGAGAGGAATATCACACAAAGAAAAAGAGATCAGAAGTATCCAATAAAAAAGCAAACAGCAATGTTAATCATATTGCCAAGCCTTCAGCAGCAAGACCAAGTGAATCCAAGGGGGATAAGGTGCACAAAACTCTCGGTTTTTTTTCAAAGGCAGCTGATGACTGGTCTCAAAAGGAACTGCAGAAGCTGCACAGGTAAATGGTTCCCTTGTCTTCAGAGGGCAAAGCCTATCTCAGATACCAGGAGGCATAATTTGGGTACTGGAGTGTTTGGCTGGTGGTCTTCTGAATTTGGATTTTTCAGGGTTTTGAAGCAGCCCCACGTTATTTTAAATTTCCTTTTGCTTTAACTCCCTCTTACAAAATACTTTTCGCTCACAAATTAAAGAATAGTAGAATAAAGCAGACAAGTGTTTCCTGCAGTAGCTGTGGTCTGTGAGCTTGCAGCAGCCCCCACCTCTTCCATGTAATGCAGAGTGAGAGGAACACAGTTAGCAGCTGCAATTTGGTTGTTCAGTGCTCCTCCACTGCTTTCTAAATATGCCTACTTTTTTGTGAGATAGACATTTCTACGAACAAAGCTGAAAAACACATATTAAAATGTATTGTAGGAGTATTGATATATAGATATAGACAGTAAATGTGGTAATATAATCTCTTCCCTAATGGAATAAAACACTAACCACGTTGTGTTTGTGTATTTAGATTTTGTAGAGGGGAGACTAACCATAAGAATATTAAATCAACACATTGGACAATTACTTAATTAGCTACTGGGCAGTGTTTAATGTACACACAGTGTTAGAAAATAACCAGGTTTGGTTGTATTTTTTACTACATAAGGATGACGTGCACCTTATAATAGGCATTCAGATAAACAGCTACATGTTACAGTGCCTCTGGTACCTTCTGCATACCAGGTCTCCCCACGCAGTGCATGCTGGCACTTGGACACGCTGTTAGTCTCAGGTGCATGGCAGTGCAGCACAGATTCTCCTGTATGAGGAAGGCCATGGTTCTGTTCTCTTGGCAGGGCAGTGGCTTCGTTTCCAAAGCACAAGAATGGTTTCTGGGTGGAGGTAGCGATGGCTGTCGGGTCTCGTTCTGCTGAGGAATGCCATCAGAAATACACAGAAGAACAGGCAAAAACTTCCAAAAGACCTGCCACAAAGAAAGCCATGTCAGGAAAGCCAGAACAGAAAGGTACTGACCTCTTGGTTCTGAGTATAATTTAGTCTTTACATTTGAAATTTGTTATTTATTGTATAATGGGAGATGCAGCCATAAGTACACACACACCTGATAAAGAAACAATAAGCAATTCTTTGTTTTATTGTGCTTGGATTGGAGTCCTGTAGCAAAGGAGGTTATCTTCTACATTGCAAAAAAGAATACATTTGTTGCAGAGCTTGAGGGAGGTTGTAGTGGAAATGCTGTCACAGGCTGAAGCAGTGATGGAGCACCTGGTGGGAAGGCAAGGCCAGCCAGGGGAGCTCAGGTGCCATGTACTGAGTGATGGAAGGGCTGGAGCCAGGATCCTCCCCTTTCCAGACCTCATTTAAGGGTTGGCACTGGATGTGAGGGCATCCCTGCATACCTGAGGCCTTCCAAATATAAGCAGCTCTTTTTCTTCATTTCTGCATCTATGACTGCTACGTTTGGTCTTGTTCTCATTTGCTGTATCCAAAGACTTTGCCACCCTGCTATTATCATCCCATTCTGGCATTACAGATATCACAAATGACTGAAGCAGAAATTAGAAGAAAAAGGGTAATTCAGAGTTTTTTCCAGGCAGACTTAACCTGTATTCCTTGCCTAGGAGGAGACAGCTGTTTATAAGGCTCTGGAGTAACTTTCTGATTAAGAAAGTGTAGGGAGAATTTATTTTTGAAAGTGTAAATTGTATAGAAATCCAAAGGACCACAAAGAAGCTGTGAGAAGTTTCCATGAAAGAAAGAACCTTATTGTTAGCACTAATTGATTCTATGATTCCATTCTATTCCACAACTCCATTCCATGATTCTATGATTGCATCCAGCTAATTTAGAAGTTTGCTCTGTAATTACTGTCTTAGAAAAAGTAATGCTTGTATTCATGTAGATAAGACAGAACCAGTTGCAATAACTGCCAAAGTGGGAACCTTCAAGAGAAAGCAGCAGATGAGAGATTTCCTGGACAATTTGCCAAAGGACGATCATGATGATGTTTTCACTGCTACACCCTTTCAAAATAGACGAGTGAGGGTAAGTAAATCTGGAAAAACTGTACATATCCACGTGCTTTTCTGACTTGTAATTCAAGGGTGTGCTACGAGTCAGCTTGTTCAGTGCCAGCAATATGAAATTGTGGTTTGGGGAGATGAGGTTTACCCACCTGATTCATTTTTGCAGTACTTTGATTGCTGAAAGTGAGAACATGGAACATAACTTCCTGCTGTTGTCTGTCCAAACTGGCTCCACTTAGTAATGCACGAGCCTTCATCTGGTACTCATCCAAAAGCAGAGTAACACCGTGGCTCACTGAAATGTCATAATTAATTTAGGCACTGGTAGCTTCCTTGCTTTTTATAGACTGCACTGTTCAATGGAGAAGTCCCTGTGACAAATCTGTGCAGGTTAGCCATGAAAGAATCAACACATCCATGTCCAAGACTTCCAAGATGATGAAAGTTAATCTGTGTTTTTGATGATGTGTTGCTCCTCTCTGAACCTTTTCAGCTCTCCTCTCTCCCTTCAAAACAGAAGGACCACAAGTTCCCTGAGAATCCTCTAATCTTCCTTCTGAGAACAGTGGTCAACTCTGAGCCTGGAATTTTAATCAGACTTCTTTCTTTTAATACGTAGTAGTAACCAAAAAAGAGGCAGCAAAATGTTGGGTATCTGCAGGAGTGTCGAAGTAAGACCAAGCTGTCTGCTGGCTGCCCTGTGGAGTCCTCACATACCTGCATTCAGCATACTGTGTCCTGTGCTGCTATCTGCATCTCAAGAGATGTAGTGGAGTCAGAAAAAGCAACTGCAGTGAGCAAAGGGATGGGGAGAGAGTGCCTACTGAGGAGAGAACAAAGCCTGCAACTGCTCAGTGTGGGGAAGAGGGGTACAGCCAAGGTGCAGCCGTGGCTCTCAGGCAGTGGTGAGAGAGGCCTCTTAAGCAGAGTTGGAAAAAGGGTGGATCGCTGAGTGCTCTGGTGTGTCTTTGTAGTTACCAACGTTCCTGGGAAGCCACGATGATGACGATGACTTTGCACTTACAAACAACCCAATCACACCTTCCTCAGCTGTCTTCCCTCTGGCCAAAACCCCTCAGTGTGAGCACATCAGCCCTGGTATGCTGGGACCTATCAACAGGTGGGAATTTGTGCTGCTGTTCCTTTGCTAATGCTTTCCTTTCTCATTTCTTGTCTCTTGGGATTGGGAAGGATCACTTTTGGGATTAACCTCCAGTATGCAGAGTAAATGCTGCAGGCCTTAAGGTATTTGTTTAGAGAAAACTGCCATTTGACAGCGTGTGCTGTTTGAGCTACTCAAGTAAGTGTGGGCAACTAAAAACACTGGCAATAAAGCGTCAGGCTTTATTGGAATTAACTGGCACCCTCGTCAATGAGAAGTGGCATTTTCATGTAACGAACATTCTGGGAAGATGATAAAGCTGTTTGTCTGACATTTGCATTTTGAGTTCCAGCACATGATTTAATTAAACACTTCTGCATTGAGTCATACTCCAGGAACTGTTGCTATATTTAATTGGCCAACAACTGTTTTTAATGGCTCTACTAATTTTCTTTCTGGATTAGAACTGTGTGTGTGCTGACTGTAGCTGTATCCAGCTGATGCCCCGAGCAGAACACAACACTGACACTGACTTGCTTGTTGATGCTTGCAGGAAGGACTGCGACAGACACGTGTTTAGGATGCAGAAAACTCAGGGCTGCAGGAACAGTTGGGACAAAGTGAAGAAGCAGCAGGTAATGCTGGCTTCCTGAATGTGAGTTCCACCTTGTACCAGTGCAGGTTCTGCTAAGCAGGAGGATCCCTGGCTCACAAAGTGCGGACATAGAAGGAACACAGGACCCCTCTTGACTGACACCGAACTTCTGGGTTTTGTATCTACGTATTTCAGAGAAAAGTTACTTCTATTATAATTTATTGTCTTGATCAGATAGGCTGTCATTTTCAGGGTCTGTAATTGCTTTTGGGTTCTGAGACCTTTTTGATGCTTTAAGTTCCTGCTATCTTTTCCTGTACAGTGGGGGAGGAAGTGGGACTCCTCACCTTGCTCTCTGAATTTGTGTTCCTTTCCTGTCCTTGCCTTGGTAGTTCTGCCTCTTCTGTGAACAGTTGTGATCCCAGAAGCAGGACAATGCCACTGGTTTAGCCAAAGATTTTGGTAGATGAGCGCTTTAAATCTTGTGTGAAAATGTGGCATAGCAGTAGGGCAGCTGTATTCTAATGGAATGCTGTGCCTGTTCCTTCCTCCCCCTCCCCATGAAAAATGTTTCCCCTTTCCTATGGTGCTGTCACTGCTGAGTTGCTGAGTGCAGACTTTTCCTTTCTGGCAGGCTGGCACTTTGCATGGCACACCAGCTTCGAGCAGAACCAAGTTCACCTTTGATAAAAGTAAGTGTGTTTTGTTTCTCCTTCACGTCAGCTTTACTCACCTTCACACTGCCACTGCTGTGTGGGTGTTCACATCTGCACTGAATAATTTTTCAGCATCCTCTGTTTCTCACAGGACCTTCTGAACTGCCTTGCCAGCTCAGGCACACACACTGATGCTCTCCTCCCTGTTTTTCATATTGCAGAAGTGCAGCAGAGCCCTGCTGTAGGGAAGCTCTTTGTGGCTGAGGCAGCAGATACATCAGATGAAGAACAGGAAGATTCCTACTTTTCTGTTTGAACTTCTGGAGGTTTTATTCAGTATTTATGAACTTGTATAAAAAAAGCCAAAGGAGGAGCTTCAGCCACCTCTCTGTGCTCCTGTGTTCCTGCTTGAAGCTCATTTTGGCTGACCTGACCTGCAGTGGAGCTGTGGTTGCAGCACGTTGTCAGTTGGGTGCTGCTCAGTACTGAGGATGGCTTCTCCTGTGTACAAAGTGAACTTCCTTGCCCAGGTTCCCCCCTTCCTTTGCCACGTTTCTCCTGGTGAAGGCAGAAATGTACTCCCCTACATGGGTTTGCTCTAAGATAAAATCTAGAAATATTGTTGTACAGTACCTTTTTTAATAACACAGTTTGTAATGAATTGAAAGTGCTTTATACTTTGAGAATTTTTTTTTAACACGAATGTAGCAGCAGTTTTATGAGCTCTTAGAGAAGCAGTGATCTGAAATTGGTAGGGACCGTTATATGTAAGCTCTCTCTTAAAATACTGCTTCCTGTCCCCTGTCAGCAATGCTCAGTACTTTTAGTGTAGTACAGAAGAATAAAGCTTTGAGCATCTCTTTTCTCTGCATGGGAGGTAACAGGAAAAAATAATTCGTAGTTCTTCAGCTCAGGAACTTGCACTGCAGGCTGTCATGCTCTGGGCCCCATGCCTGAGCTGCTGGGTGCCCCTTTCTGCCTCCTCCTTACTGGGAAAACCTTCATGTGCTCTGAAATAAATTTGCAGGACTTACATTTGGGCTGAGCTGCTTTGAAAGCGGCTGCTGAGCTCTGCTGGGCTCTTCAGCTTTATCTTCCTTAGAAAGATAAGAGAGCCCTCTGCATGCATGGAAATGGGGACAGGTGTACCTTCCCAGGGGAGCAGCTTTTGCTGTCTGCTGCCACTGCTGCAATTGGTGACAATGGGCACAGTTACCATCCCAGCAGCACCATGTATGTCTGATATGAAAATCACACACTGTAAAGGTAAGGTGGAGTGAAGCTTCTGAGGAATTCCTGTGCAGATAAGAAAGCTTTGCTTGAATTTCTGCCATAATTATTCATATGGCCTTAATTGAAGCCGTGAATGGGGAGTAAGGGCCTCTGCCTGCCATATTCCTTCCTACTGCAGGACTTCAGTCAGCTGGCAGGGAGCAGCTTGGGGGCATTCCTTATGGGGAGAGGGGGAAAATAACACCGTGGAAACCTGAGGAGCAATCCCTGCACAGAGCAGTGAGGTGGGAGCGAAGGAGGGCAGCTCTCTGGCCCTTTTCAGCCCATTGGCACCACTGCACCTTGCAGCACGTGTGAGTACAGCTCCACTTCCCTGCCTCCAAAGGAAAGATTGCTGGTGAAAGGGAAAAGTTAAAGGTGAGCCTTCTTCCAGTTGATCTAGCTCCCACTGAGCCCTCTGTGCCTCAAGGGCAGGATGTCCCTGCGAGTGGCTGTAGCCAGCTGCTGTGTGACAGCACACACTGCTACAGCAGGGCACTTCTGCTGAGGCCCCAGTGCTGCCCTGAGCTGTGGGTGTCCATCCCTGGAGGTTTCCTGGATGGGGCAATGGGCAGCCTGAGCTGGGGGCACTCAGCCCATGGCAGGGGTGGGGCTGTGAGGGCCCTTCCCACCCAGTTGTGCAGTGGTCCAATGGAGGTGGGTACTTACTGCCCCGGGCCCATCCATCCCAGCTGTAACCCCAAGAACTGCTCTGTGTTCTGTGCAGAACAGACACCACCAGCAGGACAGGAGTGCTGAGATGATGGCTCATCTTTAGGCACTGTGGTACCACCACTCGTCCATCAGAGCAAGGAAAGTAACCGCACTCTCCTTCCCTATTAGACACAGTCTCTGCCTCAAAGCCCAGTGTTTCTCTGAGGATTTATTTACATATTTTACAGCAACTAAGCTCAGTAAAGTGCAATTGGAAGAGCAGCCCGAGGCTTTCAGCAGCCCCGTGTCCCTCTCCTCAGCTCCTGGTGGCAGTGTTGCTCTTCCCCTTGGCACAGAGGCTCTCAGGCAGCATGTGTGTGTCGAAGCCATAGCGCAGGTAGCGGTACGTCTCCTCTGCGCGCTGCAGGCTCACCTGGGCACCAGCAGCAATGTCTGATGGGGAGCTGCAAGAGAGCACAGGGACACTGAGCCCGGGGTGAGACGTGGGTGTGAGGACACAGCAGGGACAGCCTGAGCTGCTTGAGGAGCAGAGCAGAGTTGAGCACAGCCCAGGGAGCTGCTGGGAAACAGGGAGTGCTGCAAAAGGAAAGGGAAGGGCACAGCAGCAGAGAGGTGGAAGCAGAGCTCATTGACAGCCACAGCCTGAAGAGATGGAGATCCATGAGGAACAGCACAGAGCTGGGGATCAGAACTGGGGGGAGCTCGGGGAGTGAGTTCAGCACAGCCACCATCCTGAGTGTGAGACACTGAGAAAGTGAAGCCTCCAGAGCCCAGGGTGCTGGCCTGCTGTTACCTGTTCATCATCGTCCTCACGGAGCTGAAGTGGTGGCACATATTGAGAGCAGCCAGGTAGCTGATGTTGGGAATGCTCAGGTAGAAGTTGAGCATTTCCTGCTTGTGGCCCTCCACCTCTGTAGGCACACGGATGGCAGCGTTCTTCCTCTGCTCCAGCAGGGCCAGCTCCTTCAGCAGCACTGCTGTCTCCTCTTGGCAAGAGCTGAACAGAACCCGGATGCCAGCCTGGAGCAACGCAGCGAGTGTAGCATCATAGTGCTGTGTCCTCTGGAAAAACCTCGAGGTTTCCCCTGCAGGGGGCAATGCAGAAATCTCAGTGTGATTTAAGTGCTACGTTACTGTGAAACAGTCATTTACAAGAGCAAGCAGCCCAAGGATCCCCAGCTGTGAGACCTCCCAAAAACCAAGAAGATGGAAAGCTTCTAAAAGAAAGGAGGCTGGGGGAGTTGTGGGACAGGACTGACTGGGTTATGTGAGAGGGAGAGGTAGGAAATAACAGTGAAAATGTAAATTGTATGGAGAGATTCTTAGAGGAGGAGCACATCCATGGTAAGGGATGGGGAAGAGAACAGCACGGAGAGCTGAAGAGGTTTCACAAAGCTACAAAGGAGAATCATAGAATCATATAGAAGAAAGCAGTTGGTTGTGTCCAGTAATAAATGAGCAGCACTCCAGAAACAGTGTAATAAGAAGAGATGGACAAAATTGATGAAAATGCATCACTAATTAGTAGTTAGGTATCTCTGTGGATCTAGGTCAGCTTGTGATCTTATGACTGTACCAATCCTACAGAAGCTACAGGAGAGTTTCCAGTCTAATTTCAGTTCCACACACAGCCAGTAGGGCCAGGACCTGCCTGGAGCAGAGATCAGCGCATCCCCACACTGCTGCCCCACCTGGTTCCCCCAGGAACACCCACCTGGTTTGGTCCTGTCCTTCTCCACGATCACACACACTCTCTCAAACATGCTCTGCAGGCGCTGGATGCGCTGGGTGACTTTACTCCTGTTCACAGAGCTCAGCAGCTCCGACTGCAATTTCCTTTCCACTGCCATGCGGTTGCTGACAACGTAGTCGCTGCTGCCCAGCGAGCAGACCTGGACCTTCACCCCATGGACGGCCTTCAGGGAGGAGATGACATCTGTGCCAGAGGAGATCTCACGGCTGTCCACCAGAACACACAGTGCTGTGTCTCTGTCGGGCAGAGCTGGAGAGGCCTTTGTGGGACCCGAGGCATTCCCAGCAGTGTGCTTCACAGAGCTCCCCAGCTGTACATGCTGCAAACCAACAGGGTGTGTGAGACGTTACAGGAGCACAAGCACAAAGAACGAATGCCAGCTGAAAATGCAGTTCCCAAAAGTGATACTTAACATACATGGTATTCCACGGCGTTTGGAAAAGTCCCATTAATAAAAGTTTTTTAAAAGGTCTTACTGATATTGCAGCTCAAGAACAATTTCAGATTAATACTTCAATCCCCTACAAAAAAATCTCCTGTATTAGTTGAGCGTCCAATTACTGAGCAGCATGCATGACAAAGCATGTGGTGTTCACTGCCACTGAAAAGTTCAACAAAAGCTGAATAATTTAGAGACAGAGGTGCAGCAGAAAAGCGTAAGGGTAGGGAATACAGCACCAGGCTGTTTTCATTTAGGAATCCTAGAATGGCCTGGGTTGCAAAGGCCCACAGTGCTCATCCAGTTCCAACCCCCTGCTGTGTGCAG